TTCTCAACGAGTGGGAAACTAATTTCGTAGTTCATTTTATAACTGCACCTGTAAGCAATATTCTGGCTATAAATTAAATCTTAGAATAGCTCACAGAGTGTGAACCTGCCATCGTGATCTCCCCGTGTTAAACTGAATTCATAATTTTATGTCTAAGGAGTCAACCTACATTTTCAAATAAATGCAGTCAATTTGAACAATCTGTGAACTTTAACGTTCCAGAACCACCGTATCATTATGAGAGACGCCGTAGTGAAGGGCTCCGGGAAATTTCGACTACATGTAGTGCTTTAACATGTGCCCAAATCTCAGCACACAGGCCTACAGCATTTTCGCTTCCATCGAGAATGCAGTCGCCGCAGCCGGTATGCAATCCCAGTGCAGTGAATTTCAATAAATTTTTTGTACCAGTGACCAAACTGCGAAATCTTTACGCATTACGTATATTGCAGTCTGAAACAGGGGTGTTGCAGATCTATCATGCCTGCCTAGTCAGTACAGAAGGAGCAAAATCATGACTAATACAAGGGTATCCGCAATTCTCTTGGAGTTAAATATATGCTACATATATGTTATGGTTACAATAGTTTGGTAAGTAGACATATGAAAATACAGGAACACGAATAATGAAGTATATAGGAATAATATAAAACATGAGTACTAGATTCCATAATGTGTGTTATTGATGATCATGCGATATTAGTGGGCATAGGTCATAGGATATTGTTCGATGGGGTTGCTTTTTCATCGATCCATGCCGCAGATTACTTTTCCACTCAAGCATCAAACATGGCAGTTGCATCTCAACGGAATACTGATTCAACACACAACTCAACATGAATGGAAAAATTAATTTGCGGAAATGTTTTTTTATTCGGTACTGTTCGAATAGGTTTTTAAAAAGTGGGTTAGCTATACGGGCTAACTGATCCTAACGTCTGCAGTTAGATTCCATTTAACATACGCCCATACAAAAAAAAGAGAAAGCGTGGAAGGAATTCGAACTTACAACTGTAGTAGATACAGCTGCATTGAGCTCCCTGTTGCAAGTTGCAACATACCTGCCGGTGTGTTAGCCGCGTAATACAGCTCCGTCGCCTACCTCCAGGTCCGCCCTGCGATCATCGGTGTTTACATCTGAGGCACGCGCTCCCCAGTCGTTTTCCGGCATTCCGTCTCGCACACTATACGTAAAGTGCAGCGGCCGCCCTTCCTTGTTTGCGAAAGGAGGCTTAAAGCCTCCATTTAGTCTTCCGAGCTTCCTGTTTTATTTGAGTTATTTGCCTATTTGCTATTTTCTTTCTTGTCGTCCACTCGTGCCTAGACAAAACAATCTAGATTGTGCTAAATCGCCACCTAGCAAACATTGTAATCATGGTATGAGAACAAAAAGGAAAGACCATGTGCTACTCTAATCTGTTTGTGCTCCCACTGACGCGTACAAGACAGGATATGGTGATTTCAGAAAGTCTGTTTACAAAAAAAAGGGTTTATCACGTCTGCAGGTGGTTTGCTTGTATAATTTACCTTTACACATAAGTATCTGTGTTTCGTATAAAGGAGACAAATAATGTGAGATAGCTGGAGAAAATTTTCAAATAAAAATCCGAGGATGTGCAAAAGGAGATAGCCGGGCAATGCATAGTTGTGAGCATGAAAAAGATGTAGAAAATATTTCTGTCATGAAGCTCGGGTAGTTATGAATACTGCAAAAGTATTCCTTTCGTTACAAGCAGAATATCAAAAGCGCTAATCTGTTGAAGAATTGGAATAATCAAAAAATACATACTGAACGTAAGTGTACAGCTGGTGGACCTTTTTTTAAGTGAGACTTCCTTTCACGTTGCTTCGGTGAGTATGAAAACCTTTAGTATAAATATTGTCTCTTCCCAAAGCCAACCTTCTTGCAGCGACGGGGCTTTACTGAAAATCCTGATTGTTCTTTTTGGCGGAAGAAGCCTTGTGACAGCTCTCTACTTAATTATTATGTCACCAGCGTTAATTGTTAACTTTGTGAATGAACATGTATACACGTCACTGATATCACGCAGGTGATGACAGGGATTAAACGGTTCAGACCTAAGGTGTCAAAATATAATAGGGCGCCTTTGATGAGCACAAGACCACCTATCGAAAAGTCGACCAGCCTGTCTGAGGCACTTATTCCTGCTCAAAGAACTGATCAGCAAAAAATGTAAATTGCACATGAATAACTTACGTCACGAAGCACTCGAACCATATTCGTGCCCACTGCAGCATAAATGCGAATATGGCAAATGAGCTTGCGTTCCTAAATATTCGTCGCGAATCAGATGTGTTCATTACACACGAGTGCATGCAAGAACCATTTAGCTTATGGACAGCATATTTCTTAGACCAAGCATCGAAATGATAATCCACTAGCTGGAAAAGCTTTCGAGATTCATCGGTTTCATTTCGGCAAGCACGAGATGTAGCTTATCCACCGGATACGCGGTCAGAGGTAAATTAGTTAGTGACCCAGTAACTTCTCATCTCACGGCTTTATAAGAACGTGGCAGATAATATTACAACGAAGTAAATGAGCAGTCTATCCGGCTGCCCGGCGTGTTTGGCGTGACTACCATTGTTCGAACCAGCTGTACAACACAATGAGCAAGAGCGTGTTTTGATAAAAATATGCGATCATAAATTTCATACGAGTCGAGCACTAGTCAGGTAAGCATCTATGGCACAATCTCCTGGGAGTAGTCAAGTCGTATATTAGCGCTCATTACTGCCGCATTAGCCAAGAGTATTAGGGCACTTGCACGTTAATTAACGGGGTTCAGTCAGATGAATCACATATTCCCCAAGCTTTATCCTCTGGGCGAGAAAGGAATAAAGCAAACGGAAATAGAAAGTGTATGGAAGTTAACCAAAAGACTTCTGGTTAGCTATCCTACACTGGGGAATTAGGGAAGGAGAACAGAAAGACGGGAAAAGGGGGGGATGAAAGAAGAGAGAAAGGCGGTGATTTTAATGCAGCGTGCGGAACTGCACCGAAAGTCAGAGGCGTTCACACAAGCCCGTCGTCGGTGAAAATGCCTGTCACCAAGCTGTCATCAAGAAAATGCCTGTCATCAAATCAAGCTTTATGACACAGACATCCACGCAACAGGGAAAGGAACGTACTGTGTCTACAAGGAGGTTTGCCGCCCTAACAGGCATCGCAAAATTATGTACCTAACATATGGTCATGTGCAGAGAAAGAGAGAGAAAGAGAGGGAACAACAATAGAAGAAAAGCACGGAGGCTAACCAGGGCTCAGCCCGGTAGGCTACCCTGCACTGGAAAGGGGGAGAAAGAAGGAAGGTTAGAGATGAGAGAAAAGTCCCTGTAGCCGTCTATGTAAGTTATTGGCATACTAAATATCGAAAAACTAATATACTAGCTTAGTTTTTGTGCATCTAATGTGCCTAGTACTAACGGAACGTATAGCTGCAGACAACGCCCTAGTCCGTAACGGAGAAAGCAACAAGACCGAGAAAACCATGAAAAATTTGCTCTAGCATGAAAAATTGGCCTTAAATTGCGTGGCAAGGGGACAATTACAGCAATGAAAGTGTGGATGTGCAGTACAACGATTCAATGAAATCAAGTCGTTTCCTGTCCTGACATGTAGTGGAACCTCCATTCTATAAACGTTTCGACGGTGTGATGCAAATGACAACGAAGCTCTTCTGTATAGCCTTTGCTTTTAGTTTAGAGGCGAAAAAGAGCCAGAATATTTGAATGCACAATAGCATTAAGATTCATTCCACTGATGTCTATCCGCAGTGATAAATAAAAGAAATGAAACAATGTACAAAATGTAAAGCGCCTCTAACATACTTTTTGTTTCACAATACACCTCAGTATGAAAGCAGGCAACATTATATATATATATATATATATATATATATATATATATATATATATATATATATATATATATATATATATATATATATATATATATATATATATATATATATATATATATATATATATATACATACTGGCTTCTAGGTGCGAGGGAAGTTTCATCGCTGACTTTAAGCTACAATGTAACCCCGTGATTTTGACGATGCCTAAAAGAAATATGCTTGAATACAAACCCAGAGCCCCCGACTACACAGCTGCACTGTGCCCATCATCACGTCTCCTATGAAAGTTCACGACCTCTTCCGAGAGATTAAATGTTTCCGCGACAATCGAACGGGAATGCACTCCGAAATTCAAGTGCGTGACTAAACCCGGTCTAATAAGAGATGCGTCATTATGTATATTATGTAGACAATAATCAATACGACAAGCTCTTCAGCTTAGTCTGTTAAGAGCTTGTATATTTCGAATGAATCGCAACTTGCCGCATCGATTAAACGCGTGAACGAATCTGCAGCAGTGCACAGCTGAACGTGACACACGCGTAATTTATTGCATGTTTCTTACGGCATAATAACTGAATAATACCTTTGGACTCATCGTATGATTTTATGTCTATGTCACGATGTCAGTATTCATTATTAATAAACACGTTGTATTAGGTAGTTTCGTAATCTTCAGTGTTCAGTATGGTTTAGCCTAAAAAAAAGAAAAGCAGACATTCGTCAGAGTATTTTATCACTCCGGACAATAGCCTTCATCGATTTACAATCCATATAGTTGTAAAGGAGAAGTCGATGTTGAAATAATCCAATATCGTCATCCTGTTGCTATGGTAAACGAAGGAAGGAGGAAGCAACAAAAGGGAGAAGGCAGGGAGGTTAACCAGAAAGACATTCCGTTGGCTACCCTACACTGGGGGATTAGGGTAAGGGACAAGAAAGACGAGAAAGAGGGAAGAGAGGGAAAGGTAAATTGTCTGTAATAGTCGTGACGCTGTATTTCTAGTTCAGAAGCCGAAGCATTTCTTTTTATCTACCAGATAACCTAGTCGCACGTTGATAGGAGAAAACAAAACCTGTTCACATGCACCATATCCTTCGTGCACTACTCACCTTCACAGTGGAAGTCTTTCCATTGGATGTAGCGTTATCCATACTGTCTTAGTTATTCTTCCCGGCTTCACGAATTTTTTCCAGAGATTCACCCCACAGCAACCGAAGGGTGTCGAAGTGGGTGACAGCTCACACCAGAGTCACTCGGTGGCAAACACTCAACGAAACCCCTGTTCCCATCACCATCGACCAGAGTGAATAAAACCAACACACACTGTGTTTGTTATCCAGCAATGTATGAAGGACGTCGAAACCCACGTTTACGACGCGTAAGGAGGCGCGTCCTTTTTCCAAAGGCGTCGTATGCCGTAAAAAGAAACACTGCTGCAGACGATACAAAGAGCAGACGACGACGACGACGCACGAGAACCCGGCGATATGAGAGAAGCACAGCTGCTACGCTACCGCTGGAGTTGGCGACTCATCGCGGAGCACTGAAGCCCAGGCGTTCACTACGAGCGCACGCCGGCCGCGCTCGTAGTGGTGGCGCTGGCATCGTTAGGGCGCCCGGCGCGTCTTCATGCAGTGAGAAGGGGAGTAAGAGAGGGGAGCAAAGACGGTGTGTCGTAGTGGGGGGTAAGGGTGCACCACGTGCACCGAGAGGGGTGTGTTTTGAGCGCTGCGTGCGTGTTCCTTTTTGGCGCGCTACTTTCGACCGAAGCGCGCGCGCGCGCTTGATAAAGCGTGGACGGCTGTTCTAACGGCGGGGGGTTCTGGACGCGCGCTTGTGTGCGAGTTTGTGGGGGCGGGTATGGTTGAACGATGAAGCGGGGGACTGCGCGGCGGCGTAGCGTTGCGTTTTACACATCATTGATTTGTTTGCCCCTGCGTTATCTCTCTCTCTCTTTTTACTTTTTTTCCCCTCTTCTGTTGGCTTCACGTGTTTGCTTTCTACAGACGAAGCGTACATCTGTGGACTGGTTCCGGGGGAACTGAGCCGATCTCCACCCTCTTCGAGAGGGAGATTAGTCGTCGGTTTTCCGCGCGGGACGACTGCACTAAGGTTCGGTTTCCGGTATGTAGTATGGGAGAGAGTGTCGTGTGCCAGACGCGTGGGTCTCTGGTTCTTCTTCTATATTTGACTCAGCACGGTCTAAATAGAGTGCGAACCCTGAGGGACGGGGGTTGCCCTATGGTCGTTTTCTGTCCAGCTGTTTGGTCGCACACGGCTAAGCTTCGGGGCCATCCACTGTTACTCAGCTGAACAAAGCAGACGCAGCTGTCCAGGTACAGACGCTTCAACACTTGCGAACGTAAATGTGGTTTAGTGGTTTTATTCAGCACTGCAGGGAAGACGATATTGATTATATCTCAGCCAACATAATTCGCCCCTTCGTCCAGTTTATGTTCTTCCTTGTTGCATTGTCAGTGTGGTCGTATGCAAGTACACTTTCCTTCTAAAGAGTAGTAATTATCTTTCTGAGGCAAACAAAACCATAACACGTCGGCCTTGCAGATAATGTCAGAGATAACGTGAATATGCGTCAGGGGCAGCTGAAACACTTCTCGATGAATATAGAAGGAAGCATGTGATAAGCCACTCAGCTAATAAGCCACTCAGGACGATAACTGATGCCACGTGCATTATAGCAATTCTCGAGGTTTAACGTCGAAAAGCCACGATACTACCATGAGGGGCATCGTTGAAGAGGGCTCCGGAAATTTCGACGACCTTCGATGCATAATCTAAGTACACGAGTTGATGTTACGTGGAAACCGCATAACCGTGAAAAGAACGCTCAGACCGGAAGTTAAGGATACGTGATGAGCTTGAATTCTTCATTAAAGAGAAACAAAAGCAAGCCACACAAATTAACTCTGATATTGCGAATGGCCTCTGTGATCACTTCACTATACAATGCCTGTCTAATTCAGCAACTCTCTGGTTCAGCGATAGTAATTAGTGTCTACTTTCGTAATGTCACTTCGGTTTTTTTTTTTGCAGATGTGTAAAGTAAATATTTGGCAACTTGTCTACAACATTGTGATTAGCCTGTCATTGATACCTGACCCTAACAGCAACTAAAGAGAACACAGGACTTCTTTGTTTTGTCTCGTAACTGTTGTACTTATTATATGCCCTATGTATAAAATAGATCTTCGGATGCATGTCTGTGCGATATAGATTTCTTCTGAATATTTCACGCTTTTCCTTATAACATTGTTTTCTTCTATTTTTCTCTCAAAAAACAATGGCCTGAAGTTTTCATTCCAAAAGCAGTCTTGTCAGTTAAACATTGCAGTAGCCTGAGTAGTAAATGGAAGATACGTTGTATGGTAAATTGTGGGGTTTTACTTGACCAAAACACGATTATGATCATGCGGCACGCCGTAAGGGAGGGCCTCGGAAATTTAGAACATTCGAATACATTTAACATCCCACACTATACGTGAATCTATAGCCAGTTCGCCTCCCTCGAATTGCCGGTCACCTCGGCCGAGATCGAACCCTCCACTTCCCAGTAAGATTAGGCAGGCATATTCAAAAGGACCAACGAGCGAACGTAGCTCAGCTATAAAAACGCCAAGTGGCTGGCAGTAAGAACGGCGTGACGCTTTTTCACCACATTATCTCTCACGAAGGAAAACGTCTCTAGTTCACTTTCCTTAATCATACCCACTCATGCTTGTATTGATACGCCAAGATCTTAACACCCCATGTCCAGGCGCAATAGTTCCCGTTTATCCAAAACTGAAGAACCAGCACTCCTTCCAGCAAAATCCAGATACATGTCAACAAAATGAACCACACCAACAAAGAACCCCAAATATCCCCTGCCTGGATCGGAACATTCGGGACAATAAAGAAAGGCTCTACACTTAAACACTGCCTTATCTGTTCGTGATCAAAGCAAACTTGCCGCCTCGACTCACCAGGAAGATGCGAGTCAGATGAAATCTCGCGAATGAAAGATTACCCTTACAAGGTAAACGCCAGAAGCGTCAATACGTGGCTTATTTTTATAGCCCTGCAGCAGCAACAGCCAAAATAGGTGAACGGGCATTTCCTGATAAACGACACTCCCACATTGCGTATAGTTCCCCCCCCCCCCCCCAAAATCGATGCATCCCTGCTAACGCCAGAGCGGGTGCCAAGACATGCAGGAAGAACCACGAAACCGTGTTATTCGAAGTTTTCCACTCACTGGAGAATGACCAGACTTTCACAAGTCTAGACAAGGTAATGAGTCATTCTAATTATTGGAGCACTAATTACTTATCATCAATTAGTTCTGACTGAATAGGACGTGTTTATTGTGTACTTTATTGTGTGCTGCCATTTTTTTCTTGCTCGCAGTAATCGTTTATCAGTTCAGACTAGTTTCGAACTTTATCTGAACTTTCAGTAATTGTTTATCAGTTCAGACTAGTCTCGAACTTCATCTGAACTCTGATCGCAAACCTTCAACAGGGGTGTGTCATTTATTTTTTTTTTTGCGTTGGGCAGGGACCTAGCTAATATTCGTTTGTGTTCACGCATGTATTTGTATGCGTGTGCATATACGCAGGCAATATTGAAAAAAAAAATTGAGGTAGGGTGTGAACCTTTTTGCCTCATATACGTCATTACTCATTTGTGTTTACACCCGTGTTCTTCGTTTTTTATTCTACTTTCTTTTCCTATTTCATTCCTCCTATCTTCCTTTCCTTTGTGTTTACCCTTACCGAGGAAGCAAGAAGGTATTCTGCCCCTATAGGTGGCACATGTCAGCCTTTTTTTTCCCTCTAATTTCTCTGTGTCTTGGTCTTTCCTGTGTATCCAATTCAAAAAATAATACTAATAGTCACCTGGCTACACCAATGTACCAGTATTTAAAAAAAACTCCAATCTTTATTCAAGTTGGCAATGTCACACAAACTTCAATTATTAGGTCCACTCCCATACCACTATTAACGTCAGGGTATTATCAGACATTCTACGATAGTTCCTGGAAGCTGAAATCTATCTTGAATCTCGCAGGCAGAGCATGTAGTTTTCTTGTGCAATGGGCCACGTGTATTGGCAATGTACTAGAATAAATGAGTGCTCAATTCCCTTTGTACAACTGCAGGGTTCATTTTTGTGGAATTCGCAGGAACCTGTGCAGAGTTTTCCCTGGTGTATCATCGTGTGATATGGTCGTTTGTGCTCGCTGCCTGGCTCATTATATTTATGGGGTTAGATTCATATTCTTTATTGTTACATTGTCTATGTTGACACATTTGATAGTTGATCATTTTTGTATAATGTTGCAGATCATTAAACAATCTTTCTCGTCATGTTTTATCAAGTCTTCTTTTTCATTTTTTATCCGTCCTCTCACTCGTAATGCACAAGTCATAAGGGTGAAATAAATAAATATTCTAGCCCTGTCATTACATATTATTTACCTATTTGGTTTATTAGCAAAAAATGCAATTTAACGTACTACTCTTTGTTTAAATGCGAAGAGATAATGCAGCCAAGGAAATTATGTGTGCAATAGCTCTTGCTTGCTTTGACTTAATTGCCATTTAGTTCTAATTAACGTTGTGTTCAACAAAAATACTGGCCCTTAAATTCCCCTTTCGTCAGTTCTCCTTTTTTACATTCAATATGTGAACACAACTACGACCTCGCACCATCGTCTACCAAGGTCGTATACTAGGTCTCCAACAGCCAATTCATTCCTAGAGAACAGCGCATTGCGTCAACACCCCTGAAGACTTTCAACAGATAGCGGCACAGAGAATACTCAATAATCCGATAAGCATCGTTATTCCACTTTTTCGTTCATTTCTTGCGGCTCGTAAGACAAAAGCAGCGAAGCGACTCGAAATAATCGAGGCACGAAGAAACTCGAGCGTAGAAATAAATCTCCCCGCTGTCGCTTCGACCTCACTTCGCCTTTTGATAAAGCGGGGTACAAAAACACCCCCCGGCCAGGAACGTTTAAGATCCTCCGATCTCACCTGCGTCACGAGAAGGGCGGTAAATGGCCGGGCGACGCGCCGCTAAAGCAAAATACCGACCGTGTCTGCCGAGTGCAGGAAAGAAACACTTCGGGATGCCTATACGAAGCTTTCCTTGTACATAACTACGTGTTACTGAGAGACGAAAAAGGGAGAGATGACAGATGTCAAATCAGAAGCCGCTGTAACGGCACGATAGTCGCATTAGTTGCAGAATAAAATATATATTTTGTTGATTCTGTCCGTGCCTTAGAGTGAACATTATTCATTTCAAGGTTATTGCTGGCACAGATAGATTAAGGCAAACGCGTTATATGCTTCACGTGGCGCTCTCGGTGTCAACACGAATAGTCTAAAAAGAGCACCGGGAGAATAACTCGGTAAAAGTCATGGGATGCTAGAGTGAATGAAGGAATTGGATTACAGTGTGTCTGTCGGCAGTCCCCAATGGAGGCGGGAGTTCG